TATCCTTTTCTTTCCCTAAACCTTCTCATCCACATTATCGGAGCTTGGACGTAACAATTATAATAATTAACTATTATTATTAACTACTATTATTATTATTAACTATTATTATAATCTATTTATGGTTCATCATATACATAATACAAGTTCACTCCTCATCTCGCGGCGATATATATCTTACGGAAAATGAGTCCATCTCGCGGCGGTACTGCGTATTACGCCGCTTGCTTAGTGACGCCCGTATAGTATTATACGTACGTCTATACTATAGATGTACGTATACTACGGGCGTCGCTAAGGCCTGTTCTACAATACGTGTGTCGCTGTCGGATGTCGGGCGCATGCACATTGTACTGTCGGCTGTCGTTTCTCATTGTCGCGAGTCGGTCGCGAGTGGCGCTTCGTACGGTGTGGACGCGTTCGAGTGAGTTCCGGATTCCTTGAACACAAATAGCCGGATTCGTGCCCCGTGTGCTTGTTTTTGTACGTCTCAGCATTGCTGCTGTGACGCTTTAGCTACCTGCGATCCCTCCGCTTGTATATTAACATCGGCACGGGCTTATAAGCGAGGCTTCGGCCTCGGCCGGCGGTGCGGGGGGGACAACCGCCGCCATGTTGTCTCCCCGCGACCACGTCGGATTCCTTTTCTTCGCTTTTAAACGCATCACTAGAGCATTTTAGCGAGTTCGAGAGCAGGTAGACTCTTCTGCGCAGTGTGCCCTCCCCTCATCCCCCTCAGGAATCTCCATCCTGGTCGGGTGCCGACTCAGTCGCCGAGTCTCGGCTCGGCGATTCGTGCAAAGACCTCTCGGATTACGCGGTACCTATGGACCTTGAGCATGAGATGTCGTCTAGAAAGAGAACGACCAACCACGGTGGAAATATATAAGGTGAAACAATACGCATAATAGCGGTAGCAATACTGGAAATAGCCAATCAAATATGTCCGAATATGCACTTTCCTACTGCGCATCCATCAGATTGCTTCACCTTATATATTTCCACCATGCAACCAACGACCGTGAAACTGACACGGATGCATCTCAGGGTAAGTCAAAGAGGCTCGGCGCCGGGCCGGACGGGCCTTCTGCTTTGGCGCGTTCCAACGACGCTGTTAATGTGGCCGAGAGTGGGGACGCCTGTGTATCGGGTGTGTCCCGTTCTCGTAACATTTACCCCGCGCGCCGCGTTTATTCTGGTCGGGACCTCTCCTCCTACATAGTGCACATTCACACTAGTAATAACGAGGCGAACGACAATAATACAGTATCATCTCCTGTGGCTCTCCATCCTACAGTGGTCGGGTGCATCGTTACAGACATAGTCAAAAGCGAAATTAGAGAGGTTAAGAAACTCGGTCGAGGCAAAGTTTCGGTCGAACTTAGTTCAGCACAGGCCGCCAATAATCTGCTCAATATTCCTCTCTTGGACAAACATAAGCTCAAAGCTTTTATTCCTTTACGCAGAGTTATCAGAACCGGCATCATTAAAGATGTTCCTCAAGAGATAAGCGTCGAAGTCGTTAAACAATACATAGAATCCCCCACTAAAGTCCTAGACGTCACCAGACTGAACAAGCGCATAAGAGTCAATGGGAAAATTTCTTATGCCCCGCGCACGCTCTGCATCAAATTTGAAGGGTAACGGCTCCCCGACTACGTAGCTCTTTTTAAAATAAAGCATGGAGTCTCGATTTATGTTCCACGCGTGCGTAATTGCTATTCCTGTTACAGAGTAGGCCATATAAGCGCGGATTGTAAGGATCGCGGTAGATATCTTTATTGCGGTAAAGACCCAAGGAAGTGCACAACGGAGACGTTGATGCTGTGTGTCCTCTCAAATCGCAGCCGCCAACATGCATTAATTGCATGGGCGGTCATCTCGCGACGTCACACGACTGCCCACTAATCATGGAACACAAGGCCGTATTACACCTGGCGGCTGCCGAGAACATTTCGCGCAGGGAAGCAAAAAGCAGAATTTCTCTTAACAATTCGAGCAGCAGATCGTCCCCCCTCTTGGATCCGTGACTGGATTTCAACAAATTCCCTCTCTTTAACGCTGCCTCTAGGCAGACTCGACAAAGAAGCGCCCCCCATCCGAACAGTCAAGACTACTTTAATTGTCCATCGAATCGTTTTGCGCCCCTCAGTTCACAATTCGATCAGGATCCTTCATCCAGCGACTTTCTCGCTGGCGCGAATGCACAGGCGTCCTCATATGCTTCGGTTACCGGGCACGGGACGAAAGACTATGCGGGTCTTTCCTCCTCTTTTCGTCGGGACTGGAGCGGCGCATCACCCATCTCCCCCTCCTCTCCTACGCGTTCCAGGCGTTATGAAAACACGGCCGCCACTGGTAATTTGTACAAATCGCACTCGGAATGCCTTTTCCTTCCCAATGGCAGGGGGCCTCCTGGGGCCGAGCGGAGCACTGCCATTTACTCTTACCCATTGCGTGGGACTGTCCGTTCTGGGGGAGGAGCTTCACATCCCTCCCAGACCAGTAATTCTTCTCTTACGGTTGACACTCTAATTTCCATTTTAAAAAACTTAATGTCCTCATGGTTTAAACAAGGTCTTAGCAGTGTATTGATTAACCTTGTTATCAGCCTCTTAGGGCCGCCTGCGGCCCCGCTTTTGAGCTTCTTCACGCAAAATGATTCCGCGAATCTCGCTGCGGACCCCTCCGAGCCCGAGCCTTATGCTTCGTTTGCACCTCAGTTCACGCCAGGGGTTACAAACTCCTATTGTTCTCGATGTACCACAGTTTGCAGCGCCCTCACTGAGTGACAGGGCTCACGGACGGAACTAACCTTTCTAGTGTGTAAGCGAGTGAGTGAGTGAGAGAGCGACTGTGCGAGTGAGATAGATTAACGTCTATATATACGGAACATGCATGCTTTATAATCTTTATATATTAAATATTTACACATTTTTTTGCGATTATTACCTAAAAAAAATTATAACATATTGTTTCATTCTTAAACCACACTTTATTAGAAAAATTATATACAAGTACGTGTATATCAATATACGTATTGTGTCGATATATGGATGCGTGCATGTGTGATGTGTTTGAACAAATAAAATAGTCACATTGATAACCAGTCACATTGATAACCAGACACATTGATAACCAGTCACATTGATAACCTCGTATCGTACTCTTCGTTACTTCATACAGTTTTAATATGGCGGATCACTCACACTACGAAGTTTAGTTCTATCCGTGAGACCTGTCACTCAGTGAGGATGCTGCAAACCGTGGTACCTCGAGAACAATAGGAGTTTGTAACCCCTGGTTCACGCATACCCTGCGACCTTACCATGAATAATCACAATAATAGAAATAAAACGGTTAGTGATATTTCTGTCCTGCAGTGGAATTGCAGAGGTCTCATGGGAAAGTTGCCACAAATTCAGGGTCTTCTTCCTAGGTTCGACTTTCTGTGCTTACAAGAGACCCTTCTGAAATTTAACACTAAATTTAGTTCTATGGGACACGTTCAAGTTAGGGAGGACATGGAGCTAGGGGGCGGGCGAGGCATCGCCATCCTTGTCAACAGCAGCATTAAATTTGAATCTTTGGACCTTGCTCCACACCGTCACTCTTCCTGGGAAATCCAAGGCATCTTGACTAGACTCTCTGATGACCGGTCTTTGGTCATAATCAACGTATATAGACACACAAATACTATCACGCCCGCTCAAGTGATCAATGGACTGTTATCTTTTTGCAGGCTCTTTGATAACTCTCTGATTGTAAGCGACTTGAACGCGCACCACGAGAACTGGTACTGTGAGTGCACTGATGCACAGGGCCGCATTCTACATAGCATGCTGTCCAGGCACAACTTCACTATCTTGAACGAAGTCGCTCCTACTCTGCTACGACCGACGGGCCAGAGAAAATCAGTCATTGACGTGGCCATTTGTTCGCCTGGCTTGACCGCTGAGTGCAACTCGTTTACCGAGTCGGATCCCTTCGGCTCGGATCCCACTTTCCGGTTTACACCTACATAGTGGGCAAGGTCGAGCTTAATCGACAATTCCATTACAAGCTCAAGCTCAATAAAACTCAACTAGCGGGGCTCGCTCATGATCTGGATCTCTCTCACTCCAATTTTATGTCCAACGTGCCTTCAGGAGCCGTCAGAAAATATGAGCACTTCAGCAAACATCTTCTCGAGTCTGCTCGAGAATATATCCATCCGGAAAAGCATCTCCCGCGCACAGTGCCGCAAAGTGGTTCGCCAAGGAAACCTCTCTGGTGGAACGAGGGATGTGAAGAAGCAGTGAACAAGCGCAGACTGGCTTCACGTGCCTTCAGGAGACAACCAAGCGAGGAGAACTTTCGTATTTTGAGAGAAACTTCTAGATTCTGCATGAATTTTTTGCACAAACAAAAAAAGAAAGGCTGGAGAAATTTCGTAAGCACGTTCAACGGGAAAACCCCTCCTACGGAAGTAGGTCTCTGATTAAAGCCTTCAAGAGGAAAGGCCTTTTTGCTCCTTCCCCCCTCTCCCTCTTAACTCAACGAGCTCTAACGCTAACTCTACTTGCAAAATCCAGGAAGCCATATCCAAGATAACACCGGACTCGTGCTTGGATGACCGTTCGCCCTCTCTCGAATTGGAAAAGCTGACGACTTGAAAAATCCTAACATCGAATCATTTCTGGCAGACCCGTTTACTTTGGAGGAACTCAACATCGCCCTCAGGAGCGTTAATCCAAATTCTGCTCCTGGACTGGATCAAATAGACTACAATATTCTTTTAGCGGCACCTGCACCATATAGAAGTCTGCTTGGAATATTCAATCAAATCATAGAGAATGGTGATTTCCCCTCATCATGGAGGACATCTATCGTGGTTCATCCCTAAGCAGGACGGATCTGACATTTCGCTTCTCTCTTGCACACTCAAAGTTCTGGAAAAGATGATTCTTCGCAGACTCAGGTAGTACATAGAATCTAGACCGATACTTCCCCAAACACAAATGGGCTTCAGACCGTTACGTTCCTCTAATGACAATCTAGTGATTATTACCAACCACATTCGTGCGGGCTTTCTCAGGGGCGAAGTCATGGCTGCGGCTTTCCTGGACATTCAGGGAGCGTTCGATAATGTGGTTCCCGGCTTACTGGTTGAGGATCTCAAGAACATAGACATCCCCGCCGTTATAAGGCAATTTGTGTGGCACCTTACAGGAGAAAGAGAAATTTACTTTGTAGTGGATCGCGAAAAAACGGGACCTCGTCTTGTGCACAAGGGCACTCCGCAGGGCTCCACCCTCAGTCCTATCTTGTTTGACATATATCTCAAGGACGTCAATGATCAATTGCATGAGGACACACGCATACTTCAGTATGCTGACGACATTGTCGTCTATTCGTCGGCCTCAGTGACGGATACCTTTAACTCCATTCAGATTTCACTGAACAAGCTGGTGACTCTTTTGAGAGACCGAGACATGGAGCTTTCTGCATCCAAGTCCAAACTCATTGTCTTCTCGGAAAAAAGGAGTTTACGTCCGAATACCGTTCCAAACGTCTGTATAAACAATCAACGGCTGGACCTGAGCGCATCTGTCAGATTTTTGGGAGTCATCTTGGACTCCAAACTCAGTGGTAAAGAACATCTAAACTACCTTATCCAGAAAACTACTTCTAATATCATCGCTACTTTAGCAGGTATTTGGTGGGGATCTCACCCTCAATCTCTTCTCACTATTTACAGAGCCATCTTTAGAGGCGCAATCGAATACGGAACTCAGGTATATTCATTTAACAATAATGCCACTCTATTTCTAAAACTCGACAGGCTTCAGTACAAGATAATTCGGAAGGCGATGGGCTACAGGATATCTACGCCCATTAACATCATTCTCTATAAGGTCAAGGAACAACCCCTTAAGCAGAGATTTGCGCTCCTCACAGCAAAATTTTTATATAAATCTTTCGCGCAGAAGTTCAGCCTGGTCACAAGTAGCATCCATGACATGGAAATTGCGGCTAACACGCACTCTAAAAGGGTGGCGGCGCTGGGCTCCTCCCCTTCTTTCAAGCAATACATCTTGCACCGGAGTAGCTTCCAATCTATATATACTTCATCTTTCCCTTCAGCCTTTTATTATGATTACTACTCAACCACCTTCTCTGCCGACTGTCGTTTTGACTATCATTCATCCCCAGAGATGCCCCCCATCTGCAAGTTTTAGCGGAGTTCACTGAACGTACGCGAGAGCTTACTGATTCGTCCTTCGCATTCTACACGGACGGCTCTAAGCTGGAAGAGAACGGTCCTGTTGGAGCCAGCATTTACTCCCCAGATCTAGGATTCAGAAGGTCCTGCAAGTTGCCATCGGAACTTTCGGTTTTCTCCGCCGAGAAGTGGGCGATTTTGGAAACGGTCTTTTTTATTAGGGATGGCAGACTCCTGAGCTCTGTCATTTTCACAGACTTTAGGAGTGTGATTGAAGCCAACTCTACTGTGCACAACTCTAGTCTCAATCACATAGTTCATCAGCTCAAATACGCTCTGTATTGTGCAAAGACCGAGGGCTTGAACATCGTCATTTTTTGGATTCCGGCTCACAGGGGCATACCAGGAAACAAAACCGCGGACGCTCTGGCAAAACAAGCAGCTCGGGATACCAACTCCAGACGGGACATAAAGGTCCCTTTCACTGACGCTCTGAAAAACGCGAAGGACGCTGCCAAGGGACTCCTTTAAAGAATGGCTTAGAACAACCGCAGCCTACAAGAGTGTAGTACATGCGGAACCATACCAGGATGCCTCGCCACGTGCCTGGTTCCATGGGCTTTCGTTGAGTAGGGAAGAAATAGTAATTACCAATAGGATTCGCAGCAATCACTACAGCCTACAGCCGACAAACGACAGATGACCAGCGACATCCGACAGCGACACACGACGTATTGTAGAACAGGCCTAAGCAAGCGGCGTAATACGCAGTACCGCCGCGAGATGGACTCATTTTCCGTAAGAAGAAAATGACGCGGATCCTTATAAAGAGGCGTATGCAAATGGAGTTTTTCACAATTAGAGTCTCGTGAGACCAATCGAGTGGGTCGGATGTGTTCGATCTCGTCTCAGGTGTTGCGTCACTTCGAATATATTTTTGAAAAGCGTTGTCGGCTTCGACAGTGCCATTGCATTATATTATGAGGGGGGGGGGCGCCTCGCCATTTTCGTTTGTATTACATCATCTTTTTATTACTCGTCCAGTTCGAGGTAGCCGGTGCCTTGCATTCAATTTATCTTAGTTCAATTTCGAAGACCATTTCAATGGCCAAGTCCAGTCAGTTCGGCTATGCGGCCAATTAAAGGAGAAGAAGAAGAGAAAGAGTTCGTCACATATGGCGAGTTCGATTGGAAGCACTAGTGCGTACTAGAGCATGTTAAAGCCGTTGTATACTGATTTAATTTGAATATAAAAATAAAATGCAAATATTTTAAATCGTGAAATACATATTTTATCTAATAGTACAATAAAATGTATTGAATATTTCACGATTTAATCGATTTCTATCTTTATTTATAAACATCTTTACATTATTTTGTGTACAACGGCTTTAAAATGTGCACCAGTGCGCACTGAGTGCGTTCAATCGAATTCGCTATTAACTCTTAGCTTGATCAGAGTGCTCATGGACTGTCATGGAGCCTTTGAAAGTACTTTTTTTAAATAGAGTTATTCATAGATAGTTTCTGTGACGCATACTCATTTACTGCATTTTGTATCATACCGAAACGCGGATATACCCTCATAAAAAAGTTCTGCGCAGTAGTGCTCAATAGTATTTTTCTACAAGGTTTTAACATCCTAAAAGACATTTTAGAACGTTCACTGAATAAAGACAGAATGAAATTTGGTCACCCAGAAACATCTTAATGATATTTAAACAATGATGTCCTATGGATGTAGAATAAGCCGACATATATACATCCTCAGTATATCCTAAATACCTTCTAAGTTTTTTCAGGTACGTACTCTGGTGGATGTTTGAAAATCCCTCAACATATATAATCTGTAGGATGTACCTAGGATCAATTTTTGCTGTGTGGGTTGTGCCAGTCGATGTCAGTGTTTTCGTTTGATGAAAATCTGTGTCTTCCAAGTCTATAACTTTGAGCCTAACTAGAAAACAGGAAAAAGTCGTGGGGATCAAATCTGATGAATACAAGTAGTTAATTAATTCGAACCGCAATTTCTTAAATTTTTTTTGTGGCTATCGTTGATATTTGATTTTTTCCATTTTTACAAAAATACTGATATTGACTGACACAAATGACTGTCAAACAACAACTAAGCGTCCAAAATGGCTACAATTTTCACAGGTATTTTGCAAAACATGTACGATTATAATACCAGAATGGTTTTAACGACCCACACAGCAATGGAGATCTATGGGATATACTAAAATCATCGCGAATATACGAAATATATCTCAATATCTGTAAGATGTCATCAGTATATTATAATGACTATATCATGAATACACTTCCTGTATAAGATATTCAGGAGATATCTTACCCCGAACAAAGTAAATGTGTACAATATAGACATTCTGAATTCTGTCTCAGAGACATTCTGAAGACATCTAACAGATAAGATATTCCAGTCGTTTCTAAGATGTCTCTTTATATATAAAACTTATAGAATAGTACGTAATTGTAATGTACGTACATATATAAGGGTATAATTAAGGAAATTATCTCTTCAGGTGATATTCATCTTAGAACATATACTACTGGAAGGAGCATAGACTCGAAAAGTTGAAGCCGAGAAGATTGACAAGGATGGAGGTAGAATGCAGAGAAGATTGACAAGGATGGAGATAGAATGCATGATCCTAGATTGTAATGCGCATGCTTGTCGCCTTTTCTCTTCATCCCGTAGACCCCGTGCGAATGGTCTGAGCATGCACATTGCTGACTAGGCACATTCTATCTCCTTGTTAATCTTCCCAGCTTCAACCGAAAGAGTGGAATTATGGGCCTATGCTCCTTCCAGTAGTATATGTTCTAAGGTATTCATAATTAGGTTTTATAATTTAAAGGTGTGCTTACACGTACATTTCTGAACAGCCAAATAAAGTTAGTTCTACATATTGGACGCCTTTTTGGAATTTTAAGGTTGGAATATTTTAGAAACCTGACGTAATGGTGCAATTTGGGCTATGGATTTAATTTTAGCATGCCAGAAACCTTCGAGATTACATACTACCGTAAAATGTCTGTATAATCGATGTAAATTAAGCCATTATTATAATTATAAAAAACATTCTCCCAAATATATCCCGACTAGATACTATAATTATCTCTAATATATTTTTATAATATACCTACGATAACATTTCAGATTTTACTATAAGCAACAATAATCACGGATATCTCAGGAATAACGTAAGAATATATTTCGCTTAAACATGAGATATCTTAGTCCTTCTTTGATGTGGACATTAGTATATCCTATTGATATCTGCCATATATCCAGATGTCTACCGAATATCTTTGAGATATTGCGATATTCCAGCATGATATCTTGACGAGATTCCACAGATTTCTTTTGCTATGTGGGGAGTAATGCCATTTTCATGTTGAGACTCACAACTTTTCAAACAACTCTCGTATACATGAGAAAATAATAAAATTGTCAAAAAAATATTCGGAGATTCAGAAAGCACACTCCGAAAGGGCTTGAAAATCTCTAGGGGATTTGTCTATTCGATTTATATACGCCAATTAATTCTTATAGGACTCTTGGATGTTTTCTTCTTACGAGAAGCAAATCTATCTTGTGGCGAGGCCGTATATGAAAAAGGCAGATCTTGCTCGGTTTCTGCTGCCAATCTATCGTCAGATTATGCAGCAGACTCTGTTCGGAATTTGCTGACATAACATAAATCACAGGTTCATATTAAGATATTACTCAAGACAATCTTGTAATAAAAACGGACTTGATGAATGCCGGCTTAAGTGTTATAAATTAAGAAATATACTACTATAATAATTCTCGCTAAAATATATTCAAAATTGAAATGTCTATCTATTTTAAAAGAGCACTATTTAACATTTTATATGAAAGAATTTTATATACAGGGTGGACCATCTGAAGTGATCCAGTCAAATATCTCGAAAACTAGTAGGGATAGAGGAAAATGTTTCGTATGAAAAGTTTAGGGTTACACGGGGGAAGTATGGTACTGACCTTGAAAAATCCTTGGAAGGTCATTTTGAAGGTCATTCAGGGGTCA